GGTGAGAGGATGGAGGTGGAGGGACTCAAACTGGGGACCTCATTCTTCTGAGCTGCAGCATGGCCCAACTCAGCTAAGCTGCCATACGAAGCCAGCACCTCCCCACCATCCTTCTTGTTAGCTATATGCATACACCTAACAAGCTGTGACACCTCCTCCCAATGCACACCTCCTAATGAGTCTACACTTCACCCAGAACATACAGAAACAATACTGGTAAAAGATCACCTTTCTTGTTTTACATAAATTCTCATTTTCATGATACCTGTGTGGGGAGAACTCATGCTCTCATCTCCAATCAAACAGACCAAGCTCCCACTTCTAGTTCACAATTTGCTGGTTGTGCAATCTTGGGCAAGTCAGCCAATCTCTCTGAGCCTTCGTTTCCTCCTCTGTGAAATGGGAATAATAATACTTACCCTGACAATGTACTGGGAAGGCTAAAATGGGGATTGTATGTAGAGTGTCTCTATGTAAGGAACCCAACAACTGTGTATCAGCACATTCTGACTAGAGGGCAAAGATTTTGGAGGCAGGGATTAGCAAGAACTGGGAAGAATCTCAGAGGCTGAGCCCGGGGATGGTGAGAGAAACTCCTGAGCATTGGCCCAGGGGCATACCGAGTTGCTCCGGAAAGTGAAAGATATCTGCTCAAAGCTGAGAGGAGCTGGAGAAGGTTGAGGCTGACCCCTGAGTGTATGACTGACAGGGACAAGAAGGCCCAGGGGTCATCCGAAGAGTTGATTTAGAGAGAGAAGGATCAGATCAATTTCCTGAGGCTATTCTATGGATGAGAACTGCATGGAGACAGTGCTTATATCACCAGAGCGGGAACTTACCCTCCATCCCAGCTGTTCTGAGACTGCAGCCCAGTGAAGGGTGAGCTTCCCCTCCCTGGAGCTACATCAGCCATGAGTAGATGACTGGTTGGCAGAGTGAGCACAGAGACAGAGCACAGAACTGGGTGTCTTCGAGATTATTTATAACAACGGGAAAGTGTCATTCTCTGAGTCAGTGTTCACATGGGAAGGGAAACCTGCCAGAGGCCAAGCCCTGTGCTAGGAGCTATGAATACATCATGCTACTTAAACCTCTAAGCAACCCTCTGCAGAAGGTTTTATGATTCTGGCCGGGCATGGTGGTTCACGCCTGTAATCCCAGCACTTTGGGAGTTCAGGTGGGTGGATCACTTGAGGCCAGGAGTTAGAGACCAGGCTGGCCAACATGGTGAAACCCCATCTCTACTACAAATACAAAACAACTAGCTGGATGTGGTGGTAGGTAACTGTAATTCCAGCTACTTGGGAGGCTGAGGCACGAGAATTGCTTAAATCCGGGAATAGGAGGTTGCAGTGAGTCCAGATGGTGTCACGGCACTCCAGCCTGGGCAACAGAGTGAGACTCCGTCTCAAAAAATACATAAATAAAAAATAAAGAAGGCTTTATGATCCTCGTTTTAGAAATCAAGAAACAAAGTTTCAGAGAGGTCGAGTACTTTCCCAAGATGACAAAGACAGTGAGTCTAGTGCTGGAATTTGACCTCAGAGCTGGGGTCCTTCATCACAAGAAAAAAGAGAAGGATCTTTTCCTTAAGAGAAAAGAGAAGAATCTGCAAAAAGAAGATTGAGGCCCAGCTCGGAAGATGGGTGTCCTGACACTTCTTGTCACCCATTTGCTGAGTAGCTCACTTTCCCTCTCTGCGACCTGGCTTGACAGTGCGCTGATCTCGCTTGGGCTTGCGGTGGGTGGGGTAGGGGGAGCTAGGGGTTGCCCTGGCCTTTGTTCTGAGCAGCCCCAGGACTGCATGGTGCAGAGTGGGGGAGGCAGTTTTCAGGGATACTCCAACGCCGCACGGCTTCGGTGTCTGTGTCTGCACTGGCGGTGGCGCTCTCGTGTGTCCGTTCTTGTGGGAATTCACTGCACTGCAAATAAAAGTAACACCTGGATTTTCGAAACACTTGGATTTTCAAAGTTATAATCCGGGGCGGACAAGAATTCTTATTCCACAGATGAGAAAACTGAAAATCTCAATGAAAGAAACTGATCGTCACTAAGTCCTATGAGGGACGCTTTACCGCGTCCTCTCACTTAACACCCAAGGCAATTCTGGGAGATGGGAATTCTTGTTCCTATTACACAGATGAGGAAACAGAGGGTCAGAGAAGTTTAGTGAGTTGCTCAAAGTCAAAGAACTAGAAAGGGGCAGGATTCCAACTGTGGTCAGAAATACTGCCAAGACGCTGCCCCTACGAAGACACCTCAGGGCCCCCCACGGGTGGGCCTCAGCCCACAGCAGGAGCCGGTGGGCCTTCAGGTCACTCCTGCAGGGTAAGACTTGGTTTCTCAGAGGAGTCCTAACGCTCTGCAAGTGTAGGCCTTCAGGAACGGGGGAAATAATTCATTGATCCTTTAAGATTCGATATCATATTAGCAGGAGCTAGAATGGGGAGCAGGTAGAACTAGAGGTTTGGGGGGCTGGCAGGGAGCCCAAGAGGGGGTCCTGAGCAGAGGGCACAAGGCTACCTGGCAGGGACAGCAATGACAGGAAGGAGTGGGGGGACTGGGAGAGAGGTGCCATGGGTCAGAATTTTGCCATCCCTGACCCTTCCTGAAAGGATGTTCCTCCATGCAGCCCCGGAGCCCACCCAGCCAGCTGGCTTCGCTCAGTCATCCCACAGGCCAGGCGGCGGCTGCCCAGCAGAGGGCCCCCTAGCCCTGGCTGAACCACACTGCCCGCAGTTGCCAGAGGGCCTCCCTGCCTGCCCAGATGCCAGGTGATGGGCGAAGGGGCCTGCCTGCCATGCACACCCAGAGGAACAGCCTGGGACCCTCTTGTCAGGTGTCTTCAGAGGCTCCACATCAGGGCTCTGAGGAACAGGGATGAAGTTTTACAACGTGCAGCCTTTGATGGTAGATGATGACCCTGGGGCAAGAATGCTGGGCTCCAGTCCTAGCAGTGCCATCACTAGGAGTGCCATCACATGTGACTTGAGCAATTCCTTCCCCTCCCAGAACTCAAATCCACCCGCACTGTGGACTAGAAGATTCTCAGCAGTTCCTCCAGCTCTGCCAGTCAGATCCGAAGTCTTCCTTGCCCATCTCTGCCAGCCTCTTAGCAGGCTCTCATGGGACCCCTGCTGGGCTGTGCACCCTGCTGTGTGTACCCACTGGGAGAGGCTGACTCCTTGGTCGTGTGGCTACTTCTGTCTCCAGGATGCTGGGGGCCTTGGCCACATCAGAACTGGGCCATCCCTGCCCTGCAGTCACCATGGCTACTGTACCTCCTGTGTCCCCGCGTGCCACCCTCAGAGTGAATAACTGTCAGCAAGGCTGGCCCCGAGTTAATGGCTCATTATCCAGGGGCCTTCTTTACCTCCCACCTCCCCATGCAGAGCCAAAGAATTCATTCAATTTCAGCTAATTTGTACCCTTCAAAAGATATCCCTTGGCCGACTGCAGTGTTGAGCCCCTGCTTACCCAGCCCCAAGAGGCAAAGTGCTGTGTGGACCCAGCCCAACCTGAGCCCCAAGTCCCGAGACCCAATCGCCACGAGACTACGTTGAGGTTATTGAACCTTGTCTGTAGAATTCCTGCCTGCCTGGTAGCATCAGGCCGACAATGAGCATGGTAAGTGTCAGCTGCTTTTATGAAATAATGATAATAATTATTATTCAGATTCCCGGCTGCCATAAGCCAGCAATGCCAACATCGGCACCTTCTTTTCAAAGTTTCTGCTTTTCCAAAGCAGTCCAACATGATTCCAGCACCCACACACCCAGACAGGTGAGGCAAGCATCCTTTAGCTTGCTGGTTCCACAGGCTTAACCCCAGGGCCTGAATGTGAATTTCAAAATACCCTTTGTCATTTCCCCCTGGGGAAGAGGCAGATTCCCAGAAACAGAACTCCCTGCTATCCCAGAGCTCCAAACCGGAACACAGGTGAGGCCCAGGGATACATTTGTTGTGAAGCAAATAAAGTTGTAAGCTTCGGGGCTGCTCACTTGCTCCTACACCCTTCACAGCTCTGAGAGGGTCCCTGTCCGTGGATGAGGGGATCAGCCGGACTGTGGACTCACTGCCGCCCTCTCGTGGTCTCTCTCCGAACTGTCCCTCCTGGGGCTCCTTGTGTGCTGAACACAGCTGGGCACCAAATTAATAGGACTGTACTGGACCAGGTGATTAATCCCCGGTGGCCATTCACCAAACTATCCTTCCAGCTCCTCGTGTGCTGGACATAGTTAGGCATGCTAATTAATGCAACCTCCCAGTTAACCACTGGACCAGGTATCCCTCTAAGTAAATGCTAGAACATGGTGTAGCTGTGACTCAAACACTGGCCAAAGAGAGTATGTTCTGCAGGTGCAGACGCGAGAATGAACTCGCAAGTGATTTTCATGCTTCCCCACTGACCCTGTCTTTCTATCCCATATCCTTGTTTATTCCTTTCTGCTTGGACAGTGTTTCATCAAGTGGAACAGCTATACTTCTAATCACAGCAGGATTATTACCCTGTGACTACAATGCATGTATTAATGACCCTTCCCCAAACCTAACAGCCAAAAAGGCCCCTGGGGAAAGGCCATAATAAGCCAGAATTCTCGTTGCAAAGATACCTTCCGCTCATAATCAGCTCTTGGGTGGTAGGAATAGCAAGGAATGGCAATAATTAACACATGAATGTTTAACAGCATTTGTTTCTCTGATTCCTGGGCTGTGCTGAACAGTCATAAAAATTGTTTTCTCTCTGAAGCATAAAAATGTTCTGAAATCACCTGGTGGGTTCACAGATGTGCTGATTAACTGTGGCCTGGAATGTCACAATGACCACGACCAGGCTTCACTCTTGGGCAGTTGAAGTTCCTGGCTAACTCTCGGTTACAACAACCTGAGTGGGTGGCCTGAAGTGAGGTCAAGTTTGACAGACGGTCTAGCAATGCCTGGGTACAGAGATTATTCCCACTCTCCTTAAAGAGACCTTCCTTAAAGAGGCCTCCTCCTCCCTAAGGAAAGTGCTAAATCCAGTCCTTTCCAAGCCCGATGGTGGTGATTAAGCTGCCTACCTGCTCAAAATGCAGCAGTTTTTCCATGACAGTGAGCCGAGACCCACTTGTGCACTGATTAACATTGAGACTCCTGGACTCTACCCGGAGAGTCTGATCCCATGAACCTGGAAAGCGGCATAGAAATCCATATTTGAATAAAGCATCCCAGATGGTTCAGGTGCATGTGTTTGCAGAGCCTATGTAGCGAAATAAGGGGGTCACAGCTCGGCAAATGTCAGAGCTCAAAAGCAGCTCCACAAGCCCGAGAGGCCAACTGTGTTTAAGGGGGTACTCAGTGGAAAAAGAGGAAAGGAGAAGAGTAACAAGCTGGGTGGCCTCCAGCATTCCTCCCTCACTTCCATCAGAGCCACTCTGCTTCTATTTGTATAGCAGAAGGGCCAAGAGCAAGGCCCTACGGCCTCCCTCCATGAGTTCAGGTTACTTACAAGCTGTGTGACCTTGGGTAAGCTACTTCACCTCTCTGTGCTGTGGCTGCCTCCTCTGTAAAATGGGATAATGATTAAAAAGAGTAGTTATCTCACAGGGCCACTGTGGGGATTAAATCAGTGAACATGTCCAAAGCATTTAAGAACAGTTTTAGGAACACACTAAGCATTTATTCTTGCATACTAGCTTTCATAATATTATCTCTTATACATAGTAATGAGGCAGTAACATTGTATTCACTTTATTTGTTGTAAGGTGTAATTTGGAAAATGAAGGTGCCATTGTTTTTTAGAAGCCTCATAAGTAGTGTATCAGTCCAACCAACTCATTTTATGGATGGGTAAACTGAGGCCCCAGGGAGAGAACAACTGGTGGAGGTCACATGGCAAATGGAAGCAGGAAAGGAACCCACCCAGATCTGATGGAGCTTAGTGTTCATGGCGCCCCAGCCCACTGCACCTGCTGCCTCCCTCAGGAAGTCATCTCCAGATGATGGCAAGGTTGGCCTTGCCTCCTGCCACATCATGCAGGGGCTGGGACTCCACCCCATGGGACTCACATGGGCAGAATTTCTCAGTCTCTCCTTCGCCCGCACTTCCATTGGCTTCAAGCGCCATGACTATTAAAAATAAGCTCATGTCCTGGAGGTGTTTATTTCTATAGTTTACTCTTAGGTTTCAATTTGCAAATTTCTACAGAGTTCAGGCGTTATTAAGGAGCTCAGGACTGATAGCCAAGAGGACATTTTCTATTAGCCCTTCTCCAAAAATATCAAAAAGAGGCCAGGATGGCACTCACCTCTTGCACTGCTCCCGCACATCACAGGGGCAAATAGATATTTGTGTTTGAGAGGATGATGACCAGCGGCTGGGACTGGGACCGGGACCGGGTGCCCTCTCTGGACTTCCAGGCCAGCTCCCAGCATGTGGCCTGCGGTAGTCACACTCCAATACATGGTTCTTTCTCCTTGTGTAGTCCCCATCCACGTTGCAGAAGGCTTGGTCTAGGCGACCTATGAAGGAAGTGATTATTATGTAGTTTTAAAGATCGTGGCCTCTGGCTTGGGTGCTCTCTCACTCGTGTGCATTGACCTTCAGAGTAGATTCTCCAACCCCAGTTAAGTCTTCAAATACTGCAGCCCCCAGCTGGCATCCTGACTGCAACCTCAAAAGAGACCTCCGCTAGAATCACTCCACTAAGCTGCTCCCAATTCCTGACCTACAGAAACTGTTTGTTATAAGTTGCTAAAGTGTGGGGTAATTTAATACACAGCAAAAGGCCGGATGCCATGGCTCACGCCTGTAATCCCAGCACTTTGGGAGGCGGAGGTGGTCAGGAGTTTGAGACCAGCCCGGCCAACATGGGTAAACCCTGTCTCTACTAAAAGTACCAAAATTAGCTAGGCATAGTGGTGTGCGCCTGTAATCCCAGCTACTCAGGAGGCTGAGGCAGGAGAATCACTTGAACCTGGGAGACAGAGGTTGCAGTGAGCTGAGATCGCACCACTGCACTCCAGCCTGGGCAACAGAGTGAGACTCTGTCTCAAAATAATAATAATAACAATAATATGCAGCAAAAGGTATAACTAAGATAGAGGTTGTGAGGGTTTGAGAACCATGTCCCAAAGCAAAGAGACAATGTCTAGAAGAAAAGAGAGGCTTCGTTAACTACCAGGGAGCTGAAAAGAAGGGATAAGATGTCCTCAGACCCATGTGGCACGATACATTCTGATGTGTGAGGGTTTTGACAAAGGAGCCAAAGATGAGAATCTGGATCCTACCCTAGGGCAGTCCATTGTCTATTGAAAGAGACAGACAGTAAACAGGAAATCAAACCCAGTGTGATAAGAACACAACACCTAACCCAGGCATGGGAGGGAGGAGGGTGATCAGGCAAAGTGTCCCAGAGACGGGGACTCCTGATCCATTTACATGCACTCAGTACTAAGCCAGGCACCTCCAAGGAGAAGAAATAGATAAAACCAAATCCCTAATGCCAGGGAGCTCACATCAGTTGTTCCCAACCCCAGTTGCACACTAGACTTACCTGGAAATGTTAATAGCACTAATAAAAGTCCCAATGTCCAGGGTCCACTCCAGACCAACGAAATCAAAGCCTCTGCCTGAATATTGGCATTTTCAAAAGTCTTTCTAGGAGATTCTACTGTGTAGTTAGGTTGAGTGCCATGACTCTAACTGAAGGAGCAACAACAGCATCACCACCCCTCCTCCATACACACACACACTCACACACTCTCACACACGCAGTCACACACTCACACACATTCTCTCACACACACACACTCTCACACACTCAAACGCACACACCCACACACTCTCACACATACACTCTCACACACTCAAACACACTCACACTCACACACACTCATACACAGACACTCACACACACACACTCATATGCCGTGATTAATAACTTTGGTAATTTCCACGTGCGTGATGCAAACTGCAAGTTCTGAGTGTGTGTGAAGAAGGAAGACACCGTGTGAGTTGTGGTGGCCTCGGGAGTATCTTTCAGCACAGCTCTGCAGTTCTGGGCTCCACCCAGCTGGACACTGCGCTCTGTGTTCTTGTTTTGTTTTGGAGACCGAATCTTGCTCTGTAGCCCAGGCTGGAGTGCAGTGGCACTATCTTGGTTCACTGCAGCCTCAACCTCTCCATCTCAAGCTACTCTCCAACTCAGGTTACCCTCCTACTTCAGCCACCCCCCACCCCAAGTAGCTGGGACTACAGGCGCACACCACCACACCCAGCTAATTTTTGTATTTTTTTTTTTAGAGACAGGGTTTTGCCATGTTGCCCAGGCTGGTCTCAAACTCTGAGGTCAAGCAATCCATCCACCTCAGCCTCCCAAAGTGCTAGGATTACAGGCATGAGCCACTGCGCCTGGCCTCTGCATTCTTCAGGACAGGGTGGAGGTCAGGACAGGAGTAGCAAGCCAAGTCCGAGAGTGGGCATCTGGGACTGCTAAAGCCTCAGAATTGGTCCTAGGAGCCACGGGCAGGAGTAAGCTTGCAGCTAAGGATCCAGTAGCCCCAGCCATGGGGGAAGGAAGCAGAAGCCGTGGGTCAGACAAGGCCTGGAAGAGGATGAGTGTCCTTAAAAATAAATAGAAGGGAGGAGAGAGGCACTCACAGGCACTGGACACTCTGCTAACACTGCACATTCCGTGTCTTGAGTTATTCCTACTAGAACACGTGGGTATTCTTATCTCCATTTTACAGAGGAGAAAACAGCGCTGAAAGAGGGTCAACCCGTGGGCCTGAAATACCCATAGGCCATGGAGTGAGGTTGGTGCCAGAGCTGTGCTGAATAAACCAGGCTGTGAATGCCCATGGCTGCCTCAGGGTCTACTCCTGAGGCCCACCTGAGCACCCCAGAGGAAGATCCAGAGCCAGCCAAAGCTGGTTGGGAGAGGCTAGGCAGGGCTGGAGTGTATGGGTATGTCCTGGGAATCTAAAGGGGTTTGGGACAGAATGTGCTCTCCTCCTCCATCCCCTCCCAACCCCAGAGCTTCAGGAACAGCAACGGAGCAATTCCTCTGCCCTGTCTACTTCCCTCCTTGCCCCATCCACCAAGTGCCAGCTAGGCAGCTATAATTCATGATGGATTCATTCATTCCTTTACTCCTTTGTTTACTAAATACTCACTGGCACCTATGACAGGCTGGGCACACATCCATGGGCACAGTAGAAAAGAAAGCATGACTTCTCAGACTGTGGTGCTGAGGGCTGGCAAAGAGGTTGGCAGGAGGTGAGAAAGAACATCTGGGAGAAAGGACTGAGGTCCTGCTCCTGGGGGATAACACGGGATGACTCCTCAAGGCCCAACAGCTTCTCTATGGCCACACAGCCAAGGGGCTGAGAAAGTCAGTGATTTAGGAAGTGAGCAAAGCCATAAATCAGGGAAGAGGGTGGAGTAGCCCAAGAGGTAGGGGACAGGCAAGGCTGCCTTTCCAAGACCACGTGGCCTTTTTAAACTTTAGAATCCTAGTTCCCGGCAGCATGGTCATAAAACTCTTTAAATGATCTATTGTAATGGTATGGGATCCCATTCCAGAAAAAGATCCGTAATTCTTGGTCACTGGGGAAATGCCCTAGAAAGATCAATAAGGGCAGGACAGAAGTCCAAACGGGTGACTCTGAAATGCTCGGCATGTAGGAGTCCATTTGTCTTGTTGGTCTTCTGTCCAAAAACAATGCTTTCCTTCTACAATCCCCTCCCCTTTGGCCTGCTCCTAATTCTTCCCACATTCCCCCAAATTTCTCAATTTTACCAGTTAGGAAGGCAAGGACCGCGATGAGGTTGAGGGTGGTGTGGAAGAGAGGATGGGGAGATGGAGGAAGGAGAGGATCAACAAGGCAGGGCCACGAATGTGTGCTTCTCAGTGGTGCTTTTCATTTCAGTTCATCGGGGCCTTACTGTGTCATGTACAGCTAAGTCCCTTGAAATTCAGGGCCTCAGTTCTCTCATCTGAAAATGCTGAGTGAGGAGTGGCAGGTGGGTGAGATTAGGCTAGAGTATGCAGCATGAAGGCAAAGTTTCAGAGCCAGAAAAACCTGTGTTTGCGTCCAGTTCCCAGCTGTGTACCTGAGAAAACTGCCTACAGCTGGGACTCATCTTCCATCCCTGCCAAATGGGAGTGATGTCTACCCACGAGGTACACAAGGTTCCATGTGTCAAGCCCCCAGCAGTGTGTCTGGCACAGCTGGTGCCCATATTCATTGATTCCATTATGTGAGGGCAGTGTTGGTTCCCTCCCTACACCCATGATGGTGTCTAAGGTCACCCCTGAACTGGGGGTTAGAAGGAGCACAGGTCTGTGCCTAAGGGAAGGCAGCCTCCAAACAGCCCTGAGCAGATGTGGCTTCCAGCTACAGATGGGAGTGAGCCTTCTGGGAAGGTGCCACCTTTGAACCTGGGCAAGGACAGGAGCCAAGTGTAGGGAACAGAGCACGAAGCAGTCTCCTTGGTCACAGCCTGAGTGGCAGGCAGGAGAAGAGACACTAAACTGAGGACGTCATGGGGTTCTGTTCCCCAACTTCCTCTCACCTCTTACTGCCCCAAATCAGTAAAGATAGGACAAAAATGCCCAACCTAGCTGGCACCAGACAGAAGTTGGGAAGTTGGCTTTAATTGCTTGTCTCTTCTTTGGAGCCAACTCCTCTTCATTCTGTCTCCAATGGCCTCAAAACTCTTAACTATTTTGAAATTAAGAGATATTTTCCTAAGTAATCCTTGGCTCAAAAAAGAAATAAAAACAGAAATTATGCATTATCTAGAAAGTAATGAAAAGGAGAACACTCCACATCAAAGCCTATGGGACACAGCTAAAGCTGTACTCAAAGGACATTTTATAGCACTCAATGCCTCTATTATTTCTTGTGAAAAGCTAAAAATAATTGTACTAAGTAATCAACCTAAGAAATTAGATAAAGAATCATAAAATAAATGAAAAACAACACAGGAGAGTGATTTAATGAAAATAAAAGCTAAAATTGGTGCAATCGAGAACAACAAAAATATTCTACTCTTACTCTTACTAGTTTCTCTTCTTCCTAAAGCAGTCCTGCCATGCCAGCACCCTCATCGTTTATACCCATCCCCAAGAATCCCATGCTAAAATTTAGCTTGAAAATTCCATTACTTTGTAGAATGATCAACAAAACTATTTCATATAATGCAAAGAGCACAAGACCAGACAACAGGATACATGTTCCTGGAGCCAAGTTCACCATGTTCACCTTGGCCGAGTCACTTCCCTTCCCTGGCCCTCAGGTTTCCAGTTTGAACAGAGGCTGGGGCTACCAGCTGGTACTGACAGATTGTCAGTTGAACTCCATTCATGGCCAAAACTCTTCAGAAGTAAGAAGTCACCCTCCCATGGGTAAATATTGACAGGCCTTTTTCTGGAGATGATGGTGCTGGTGAGTGATGGGAGCTATTCCAGGGGTCTGCACCATAGGAGGTTGGCAAGGGAGGCAGTGCCAAGTTGGAAGGATAAACCCAGAAACTGAAGGCAGCCTGGAGCAGCTTCAAGCTTGGACCCGGCTAGAGTAAGCAGGAGTGTAGGTGTGATGGTACTAGGGTCCTTTCCCTGGTCTCTTTTTAAATCTGGTGGATTCACTCCCTTCTGAGACTCATTCATCTTCTTCTTCTCCTTTTATTTTTGTAAATGCTCATCTCTCTTCACACTATAACTCTGCAGGCTCAGTACCCAGTGGGAGCAATAATAATAAGTGGAAAGAAGCGTTCTCCTCCTCAGTCTTAAGGTTCTAAGATCAAGGACAACTAATGCTAAGGGACAGACTGCCTACAGCTATGACCAACTAGCCTTGGAACCTGGTCCATGGAGAAGCTTCTGTCCCTGCTTTCAAGTCAAAATAATGATGACTCAGTTCTTCCAGGCTCTAGCCTCTGGAGGTGACTTTTTAAGAAATCTTGAGGAGCACTGACAGGTGCTTCTCTTTCAGCACAGAGTGACTGCAGAGTTTCACCCTGATCTTGGTCAGACTGAGCTCCTAGAACCATTGAGAACTCTCTGTGGAGGTCTGTTTAAAGAAAAGTAGTCTGATTTTTTCTGTAACCTCATTACAATACTACCCACTATTAAGCTGAATTTTCCCAAACTCCTCCTTTTACACAGGACACTGAAAATCAGAAATAAAAATAAGATGTGCTTTCCCCTTATTGCAATGACAAGGGCTGGGCAGCCCTCTTGATCTCTGTGGTTTACGTTACCACATGAGCTGCTTCCTGGAAGCCCCAGGCTTGGTTCTTTTGGTGACTGTGAGTTTTGTGGCAAATGAGGATGCCTCCAAACCTACTGTACACAGAGCACCCACATCCTGCCTTGTTAGGGACTTGGGTCTTTATCTTAAGTGTGAAAAGATTTTAAATATAGGCTGCCATGATCAGATTTGGGTTTTTCAAAGACCATGCTGGCTTGTGCAATGGGATTGGAGGGTAGTAGAGTGAGTGTGAATAAGGGGATCCCAAGTTCTCCGGCTATTGCAGAAGTCCAGGCCAGAGGCAGTAATGGCCTTGACTTGGATGTGGGCAGTGAGACTGGGAGGAAGTGGACACCTTCAAAAAGGTGGAATCACCAAAACTTGGTTTTGATGGGCTTTAGAGTATAGGTGAAAGGGAGAAATAGAAGATGACTCCCCATTTTCTGGCTAGGGCAACTGGGTGGTGCCCAGTCATTGAAATAAAGAACTAGGGAAAAGGAGCAAGGATAGAGGTAGGGGAAGTGACAATGAGTCTAGATGGGACATGCTGAGTTGGAGGTGGCAGCCATTATCCAAAGGAGTTTCCAAGAACATGGGTGTGTGTCTAAAGCCAAAAGAGACTGAGCAGGAGACAGAAATAAAAGCAGCATCCAGGAAAGGAACTACCCACTACTGGAGAGTCATTGCTTCTCAGTTTTGTGTGTCCTTATCTTGCTTTTGTATGGCGGTTGAACACTCTGGGTATGGCCGATGAACCAAGAATTAGAGGGACAGCCACAGAGTTTTGGAGCCACAGAGCTGGAGGGGGCATGGATGGGGTGGGTGGGGTGGGCACCTGTCTGTGAAAAGGCTCAACATCTCCAAAAGGGTGCAGTAGCTTGAAAAGGCGTGTTCACTACATTAACATAAATTTACATGTGAAAATCTGTAATAATTGCTGTGTGCTGTAATACAGTCATCTAAGCAAGTGTGGAGATGCAGATAACAGATTCTATGGCCTTACTGGGGAGGGTGCATGGCCCCCAGGAGGGGTTGGGTCTCTGTCTCAGAGAGCAGGGTGACATGTTCCTGCCTACGGGCAGAGAATGTGGGTTCACAAGGCCTTGTGCAGGGGTTGCACTCTCAGATGCTTCCGGAAGCTGGTGACATGAATGAGCCCAGTGTGCAGAGTGGTAATGATGGGAACCGGCAGCGGCCATCAGTCCAAAGGAACATGCCAGTGTGTGCTCCCAGTGTGAATGGGGGCTCAGTGTGACTAAGCCCTTTGTTTCCTTTTTTTAAAAAAATTTAATGTTTAATTTTATTTTGAGACAAGACCTCACTCTATTGCCCAGGCTGGAGTGCAGTGGCACCATCACAGCTCATTGCAGACTCGACCTCCTGGGCTCAAGCAATCCTTCCACCCATTAGTTGGGTGTGGCACGCACCACCACACCGAACTCATTCTGTTTAGTTTTTGTAGGGACGGGGTCTCACTATATTGCCCAGGCTGGCCTCAAACTCCTATTCTCAAGCCATCCTCCCACCCTCAGCATCCCAAAGTGCTGGGATTACAGGCATGAGCCACCATGCCAGGCTACCCTCTGCTTTTTCAAGAAAACTTAGGAATAGAGAATTGTGTGTGAATTCTTCCAACTTTTAAATATTGGGTCACTTAAAAAATGGGTAATAATTAGAAAGACGAATCTGTCTGGGAACTAAATGAGTCTCATCCACAGGTCAGATTTAGCTCACAGGTCATCAGTTAGAGATCTCTGCTCTGGCCCAACCCACCTGCTGTACAGATGCAAGAACTCAGGTTCTGAAACAGGCCTGGAAAACCTCAGGTCACACAGTGAGTTACAGGCAAAGTCCAGACTCAAATGCAGATAGATGCTCATTTCACTGCTCTGTGCTACCCCACAGCTACTACCTCCCTCTGGAGGGCTATTTAAAGAGAAGGGATCGGAATTTTTCCATAACCCCACTACAGTACTAGCTTCTCTCAAGCTGAATTTTCCCAAACTCTTCTTTTTACACAGAAGGACTCTGAAACCCAGAAATTAAAACAAGATGTGCTTTCTCCCCTATTGTAATGACAAGGCTAGGGCAGAACCCAGGCCTCCTGGTTCCCAGTCTAGCCTTGCTTTTACCAGTTCTCTAAGTACTCAAAGCACTCCCTGGGGCAAGGGCTATATTCAGCTTGCAGTGAATTGCTGAAATACTCTGTTCCTAAGCATATCCGACAATCCAAATTATCATACCCAGGACCAGCCCCATAGGCTACATCACCTTAAATCTTCTCTCCACAGGGCCTGACTTGCCGGCCTGGCAGGTCGCTTCTCTTCTCTGATGAATGATAAACACAACTGCAGCAGGCACGCAGCCCCACCAGCCAGTTCCGATTTGTCTGCTAATTGGAGCCTGGGCAAGGCTGGCATGATGCCGTCTGTCAGTCTGTTAGTGAGCAGTGTGGGAGAGAAGAGCACAGAACACAGAGTTCAGGAAACCAGACTTGGGATTGTGGCTGACGAGCAGATTGGCTTTGAGGAAAAGACGAATCTCCCTAAGCCTCACTTGACTCATCTGTGAAGTGGACATTATGAAGCTTGCCCCATAGGTTTTGCCAATGTCCATAGTCAAAAAGGGGGTTGGAGCCTAAAGGGGGTGAAATCTGAGGTCTTGGCTTATAACCTTTAAATGATCCCCATTACCTACGTGCTAAAGTCCAAAGTCAGTTCCAGGCAGGTGTGATCTGACCCCAGCATCCTGTCCCACCCTCCCTCCGTTCTACCTTCCTCCCCTCTCTTGATAGAAACAACTGACATTTACTGGATGCTTACCCTGTGCCAGACGCTGTGCTAAGCACTTTATGTTCATTAACTCACATCTTTCTCCCAACATTCCTATAGGAGGCACTGTTATAACTTAACAACAAAAACCAGCTTGGGAAGCTGAAGGAACTGGCCCAAAGATCCCCACTCGTGAAAGGATTGAGATTGGAACCAACTCCAGCTCTAGAGGTTGGCTCTGACATTTTGTCAACTGAACTCCATTCACGGCCAAAACTCCTCAGAAGTTTAAGAGGTCACCCTCCCATGGGTAAATATTGGCAGGCCTTTTTCTGGAGATGATGGTGCTGGTGAGTGATGGGAGCTATTCCAGGGGTCTGCACCATAGGAGGCTGACATGGGAGGCAGTGCCAAGTTGGAAGGATAAGTCCAGAAACTGAAGGCAGCCTGGAGCAGCTTCAAGCTTGAGCAAACCTAGTAAATACTCTTCAGGCTCCTACCTGCCACATCATTCCACCTTCAGGTGTGCTGTGTGCCCCACCTGACTTATCAGGAATTCCTTTCTCAGATGTACTCTCCTGCCTTCACCCTTTTGCTTAAATGTTTCCGCTGCATGGAAAGCACTATGAGGGAAACTCTTGCTTGAGGTCCAACTTAGATTGGTCCCACCTCCCTGGGATGGCCAACCCCTCCCTAGGCAGGCAGACTCTGTCTTCTCTCTCCACTGGGCTGCCATGGCCTGCAGGCGGTGGCCGGAGGTAATGCTGTCACACTGCCCACACAGTGTCGAGGCAGACAGGTTGTGATTCCTGTTAGTACACTGGACCATCTACAGTTACAGGCTTCATCTCCTCAAATACTGGAACATCCTTGAGAAAGGTCTTGTTGTACTCATCTTTATATCCCTGAGCCACAACACAGCACTCCCAAACCTAGCAAATACTCTGTAAATGCTGAAGGAGGAAAGAAGAAAAGGAAGAAGGGAGCAAGAGAGGAGGGGCATGGAGGGAAGAGGAGGGAAGGGAGGAAGTAAAAGGAGGGGAGAAGGAAGCGGGGAGGGGAGGATAGGAAGAGAAAAGATGGAAAGGGGAGGAGAGGGAGGAGGAGTCAGGAAATGGGGCAAAAGGTGGAGGGGGGAGAAATAAATTTGTGATTGCATTTATTTAGTGAGGAGTCAGCAAACTATGGCCCTCTGATTTGGGGCAATATTCAGACTATGGCATATTTTTATACAATCCCAAACTAAAAATGTCATATATACATATATTATGTTTTGAGACAGAATCTAGCTCTGTTGCCCAGGCTGGAGTGCAGTGGCACAATCTTGGCTGACTGCAACCTCTGCCTGCTGGGTTCAAGCAATTCTCCTGCCTTAGCCTCCTGAGTAGCTGGGATTACAGGCATACATGCCACCACGCCTGGCTAATTTTTTGTATTTTTAGTAGAGATGGGGTTTCACCATGCTAGCCAAGCTGGTCTCGAACTCCTGACCTTGTGATCCACCCGCCTCCACCTCCCAAAGTGCTGAGATCACAGGCGTGAGCCACCGCGCCCAGCCATTTTATATTTTTAAAGGGTTGCAACAAAAAGAAAAAAAAAGGAAAACGATGAAAATGAAAGAATATGTGACAGAGACCATAGGTGTCCCAAAGCCTAAAATATTTACTCTCTGGTCTTTTACAGAAAAAGTTTGCTGATCCTTGGCATAAGAGGATGCAAACTCCAAACAGAATAATCCTCAGAGTCTAGGTAGGAAATCAGAAAATAGCCTTGGAAACTTAAACCAATGAGATGAGATGGGTCACTTCCCCAGGATGAAACCACCAGAGCGATGATTTATGGGTGTGCTTGCCGATAAGGCCAAGCTGCGGCTGCCTCTCTATCTCAGCACAGAGTCTGTGGGCCCTCTCTGGGAGGATGGCAGAAATTTAAAAAGCAGCTAATGGGAGATAAACTGAAATCTTGGAAGCCCTCCTGCCTGTCAGGAGGTGGCATTGTAAAGAGAGCCGTTTTTAGAGACTAATAGAATCATTGCCCTGAGGGGGAAGATAGAGCATTAGGCATTGGGAGTGAGACTCCAGCCTGTGGCAGAAGAGGATGTGCTGAGCAGCTTGTCCAAGTGTTCCTGGCCCCTTGACCCTGCCCCAGGGAGGACTACAGGAAGAGTTCTTAATGGGTCAGGCTGGTAACAGCCTGTCTCCTCCTCTGCTCTCATTTCCTGAAGAGCCTTTTGACGACATTCAGCCTCCCTGCAGCGAAGACCATGTTTAGTCCAGCTGGTGTGCTGGGCTTACATTTCCTCAGTGGAACAACCACCATAACCAAGTGCATGCTATTTATTGAGCATCTGCCGCATTCCAGGCACAGGGTGAGGTGTTTTCTTATCTACATTGACTCAGAGACAGACATGATTAGCCCCATTTTACAGATGAGAAAACTGAGGATCCAAGAGATCGATGAGCTTATCCAAAGGCATATGGCTGCAAAGTAGCAGAAGCAGTACACCCTGGTTTAGTGATTCAATAAACCTGATTCTAAAAACCTGATTCTTTTCATAATGCTACACTACAGATTGTGTGCATGTACACGGTACACACACACACACACACACACACATCCATAATTAGTGCTAATCAATGGAATTCATATTTTTTCATTGATGTCTAGGGCAGGCCTAGAGATGAAGGTATATTCTCTCTCTTCCTCTCTCTGTGTCACACACATGCCCACTCACACACCCTAATGACTTAGGTCTTTGTCCAGCCTCATTTCTATCTTTTACTTCTATATCCCAGTATCCTAGGACTCTGCCCTAACCCCAGACTGCATAGCTGGAAACCACGATATTCATTTCCATCTCATCAAAAGCCTGCTGATCGCATATTATATGCAGAGATTTTTTAAAAAGCAATCCCTTTTTTCAAAGAGCTTGAAGTCCAGTAAGGGAGGTACACAAATAAACTCTAATAAAATGCACGATAATGAGTTATGAGAGCTGCTCACCCTGGTGCTGGGGTAGCCAGGCTTTGGACCTTGAGCTCCAGAAAGGCTTCCCTTAAGAGGCTACATCAGGACTAGGAGAGCAAGGTTGAGAGTTCACAGATGAGCAAGTGCAGGGCTAGTAGGTGATCCAGGCAGAGAGATCAGGATGTGCTAAGACTAGGAGGCTAGATTTGATGTCTGCAACTCATTTGGAATAGATTAAGCTTAAGTTGAATCTGAGGATGTAGCAGAAGCCAGATCACAGAGGGTCTTTGCAGTATGGGGAGGAGTCTGTACTTCATGCTACCGATGATGGGGAACCATAAAAAGGTTTAGATCAGACATAAATTTGAAAGATCCTGTGCCTTATACAGTGGGAGGGATTGAGAATGCAAGATCAGTTAGTTATCGATAGATTTAGCAATAAACAACAATGTTTAAACTGGAGATAAAACAAAACATGGAAAGAAAATTAACTGCAAGATAGTTGGATGGTAGCATCAGCAGGTCTTGGTGGTCTATTGGGTGTGAGAGGTGAAGGACAGAGAGGGGTCTAAGTTAACTCCCTGCCTAGTCCTTGAAAATGCTCTTTCTCTTCCAGAGCACTGGACTCTTGCCTCTGTTCTCCCAGCCACTGATTGGGTCTCACTCTTGTTGCTCTGACCCTCTGGAATCTCAGTGCTGTGCCCCTCAGGTATTACACCTGCCTAGGACTACTGCTCACATGCCCCACCCACCATATTGAACTGCCTTGTACGCTATCACCAAACTCAAATTTACCAACCCATAATAAATGTTGTCTATTGTGCTATTTGCCATGCTCTGTACTAGCCCTGAACCAGACCCATTCCATGAACTCCATTCATCCCCATCCAACTCTCTTCACTTTACTGAGCCATGCCTTGTAGCAGCAACCACCTATCCCAGTTCTGCCACAGTCAGCTCCACTCCCTCACCCCCATAGCCCCACATGAAGCTGGAAGAGAAGGCCGATAGGGTAGATTCAAACTCTGACAGCTAGGAACAATGGACCTGAACCAACAGAATGAAATTTAGCAGAGATAAATGTCAAGTTCTACATACTGAGCTCAGGAATCAATCACAGGGACAGGATGGAAAGAGCTGATTTGCAGTAATGATAAAGAAACATCTGAGAGAAGTGGTTGAGTAGCTGGCCAGAAGCTGAACAGTCACCAGGAGTGTGCGGCAACAAGTACATTAAAGAGATACTCTCTTTACAGGTCAGGCCAGGTACAGTCCTCAGGCCTGTAATCCCAGCACTTTGGGAGGAGGCAGGCTGATCACCTGAGGTCAGGAGTTTGGGACCAGTCTGGCCAAGACTGTGAAACCCCATCTCTACTAAAAATATAAAAATTAGCCACGTGTGATGGTGGTGCACCTGTAATCCCAGCTATTTGGGAGGCTGAGGCACGAGAATCTCTCGGACCTGGGAGGTGGAGGTTGCAGTGAACCGAGATTGCACCGCTGCACTCCAGTCTGGGCAACAAAGTGAGACTCCATCTCAACAGCAACAACAACAAAAAAGATACTAACACAATTTGAGGCTAAGTCAATAGTAGAGTGTCCAGGTATAGAAACATAGCAATCTGAGAGTCAGGATGGTTTAGACCCCAACTGAAATAGTGTTTAGCTATGGGCAGTATGATACAAGTATGCCCAGGAGAGAAAAAAGAGGTGATGAATATCTAGATACAAATTCTGAAAACTCACAGGGAGAGGGACTGGAAAGCTGGATGTCAGAACTTGGTGCTCAGTTAATGCTAGCTACTGTTATTATTTTCCCCTTTCCCTGGTTGCCCAGTTCCTAGGAGATTGTCCTGAGGCTGAGGGTCTGCCTCTTGAAAAGCATAAATATCTCCTCCCCAGCTCCAGCTGCATTTCCTCATCTGCCCCTTCCCCATTCTCCTCATGAGGATGGGGTATGGCAACTATTGCTGGTGTGTCTGCAATGTGTCCTTCCATCTCAAGCTCTCTGAACTCAGAGATCAATATTATGGGTCTGGTGTAATGTCTCTCCTCATTTCTCATCCTAATCCTGGAATGTGGAGTTGGTAGTGTCCCTAGGGCTGAATCCTGTGTTTTATAGATGAAAAAACTGTGCTTCAGAAAAAGACTGTGGTTTTCTCAAGGTCCTGGAGTTATTTGGTGGCGGAGCTAGGATCAGAACTGCAGTCAGTCCAATGCCGTTTTTGAACTGCCTTCTGGTCCCTTTCCTCCTAATCCAACCACTCACTGAGCTCCAAGAGGTTTTGATTTGAAGAAGGAGGAGGAAAGGGAGAAGGCAAGATGTAGAAGCTCTGTGGGCCAGCAGCAGAGTGCATGAGATTGAGAAGACTAGACCCCAAGGCTCTGTCTTTTATCGACAGGGTTGCCTTTGTTACTGAAGTGAAGTGAGCCAGTATCCTAGTTTTTTTCTGGGGAACCCTGACTCCCAGGAAAATCCTTGATTCACTCACCCCTCACTGCTGCCTGGGGAATAAGATAGGACTTACCCGACATCAGGATAATCTTAACCCCTTCCTTGACTCCTTCTTGCAAGGGAGTGGGACAGTAGTATTGCTTTGATTTCCAGCAGCAATAGCCCCAGCACAGGTATTAAATAGAGAAAGTAACATTTTGCCTTTAATAACCCCACTTGTCTGTTTATCACAACTTTTAACCCAAAAATCCAGCAATTTTATCATCATCATCACCATTCTCTCATCCCCAACGCCGTTCCATGTGCACAGCACACTATAGGGTATATACTTTAAATATCTGTAACGTTTCCAGCTACCTTGTGAGGTTGCCCATGGGAATGCTGATGCCCAGGGAGGCAGGCATCATGACTTGCTGAGCTCAAGCCAAGTGTGGCTGAATCACAAGGTATTATCAGTTTTGCTCCCTCAGGCAAGTTGTATTTCTCAAATGTGCCTTCCTTGAAAAACGTCTTAAATGCGCCTTCCCGTAAAAAAAATTTTTTTATAATTCTAGGGTGAGAGTCTCATTTTAGATCTACAAAAGAAAGAACAGTGATGTGTGAACCTATAACACAAGCAGACAGAAGATCAGTTGAGGGGTGACTCCCATGGCCAGAGAATTTAAAAGTTATCGAAGAAAATCAAGAAATAATTGAGGCCAACCCATTTTAAGGATGTGGACACTGGGACCCAGAAAAAGAACTGATTTCCTGGGAAAATAGAGCTGTTTGGTGGCATCACTGGGATTGTACCCGGATCTCTGGGTTCCCGCCCTGATGTGAGCCTGGACACTGGTCCACTCTAGTTGCTGACAGTGAGTATTCAGGAATCTATCAGCTATAATCTGCCATTCTCCTGGAAGCACAGATGGACTGGCTAATTGCCTTTGCCCTCTCTCTGGAGTTTGGAAGGCCTCTTTGCTCCAAGCTAGCGGACAGCTCTCCTGAGCCTGCAGGTTATTATGCCCCATATGCGGGTGTAACCCCAGAGGTGTAACCCAGGAGAAGTTGGGCATCCAATTGCTCCACATCTGTCCAGAGCCCCAGGTACTTGGCATGTCTCTGGCCCCCAGGGCACTGGTGCTCAGACACAGCAGGAACATCTCCCTAGTGTCCCCACTGCCTTCCTAGAGGGCATTCCTCCTTACTGTTGCCACCACCCTGTTTGGGGAGTTCGGTACTGTTTCCATGCTCTGCCATCCCCTTTTTATAGAAAATCACTGTCCACATAATGTTAGCTCCCCGCCCCTTGAAGTCATAGCCCTACCTCACCCATCCCTTTTGGATTACCCATTCCTTCCCCTAGATCTTGACAGTAGCCTGGAACTCACTGGATTTCACCTTCAGTTGTCAGTGTCCACCCTGAAGCCACTTCCTCTGGCCTGGTGTTCTTATCAGCCTGCAAACAGTCAAAGCCATTGATCAAGAAAATGCTCAGGCCCAGGCTTCCCCAATGTTGATTTTCTTGCCACTGGCCCTCTAAGCCCTCACAGCCTCCTCTCTGCTCTCCACTCCTGCCCTACCTGCCCCCCCAACCCCAGCCCTCCACAATGCCAAAACTATACAGACAAAGCCAAAGGCTGGCTCTTTCTTCAAGTACAGGTACTGAGGAATTAATTCTTTAGGATGGCCTTTTACAAAAAAGAAGTCCAAGTTACCTGGTCATATAAACTTGGAAAATACTGGTTAGACGGAATGCAACAAGATCCCTTACTGCAAGGTTGTCAGAGCCTTTACCACGCTGATATGCAATGTGCCCCCTCCAAGCACATCGTATCGAATAGTGTTTCCAACACGGGTTCGACTGTACCTAAAGAGCAGTGCTCTCTACAAATACATTTTAGGAAACATTTAACCCTTTTCTGTACCTTAGTACTAACAAATTTCAACACTGCCACTTATTTGCTGTGTGACTTCAGGCGAGTTGTTTTGCCTCTCTGTGCCAGTGTTTACATGAGTAAAAGCAAATAAGGGCAAGATAGGGGTTGGACAGGATGCTCACTGAAGCCCCCACTGGCACTGGCATTTTCCAGTTCCCCTGTCTGTATTTTCTGACACGTGTCTGCCTCCAAACGCACAGACAGCAGAGATGCTGTAGATCGATAACAGCATGGCACTAACAAGACGTGCATACAATGAGACACAGTGGATGACTTTGTGAGTGGCTGAGATACTTTCTGGAGGTTGAAAATCGTTTTTATTTAGCCGACATCACATGTCCATTAATGGCACTCAGCATCCCCAGGGATTGAGCGTGGCTTGTAACTCAGTGACAGACAAGGGACTGTAAGGCTCAGGGAATTTCACTGGGGATTCAGATGCCACCCATGGTCCCTGCAGACCAGGCAGTGCTCAAAAGCATGGAGGCATCAGAGATCCCATTCTTATCCAGGACACCACATTGCCTGGGAGGCACCGCATCGATACTAAAACAACTAAGTTAGGGTAGATGTGGTAATATCAGAGAGAGTTGTAGAGGGACGCTAGAAACACATTCACATACCGCAGGGAACACCAGGCAAGCTGAATTGTGAGGTCCTTTCCAGCCCTGGGCTTCTGGGATTCCCTTGGGTGCCTTTTGTGTGCAATCTACTAGTCTAGATATAGAGGAGAAAACAAATGTGAAGAAAACACACATCTTACCGTTAAGAGGTATAATCCTTTAGACACGCTGGGATAAAGGTGTTTTATCATCAGATAAGTTTCAGAATGTTGCCCACATATTCCCTGCCCCCTGGAAATCCTCAGCATACACTATATGTTAAAGGCTCTGAGAAGTCTGGGGTCAAGCTACGTAACTGGGGAATCCAAGGTCACCCACATCTATTTGACCATGCAACTCTTCTTTCTGAACCTCTCCTAACAGATCATAGAATTATTGTTTCCTACAATGAGAATCACATGTCAGACCTGGAAAGGACCTGATGGTAGCTTTTAGGCAGGTCCCACACCTCAGATAAGGAGGAACCATTCCATTGTGATGATCTTGAGTGGGCCAGTGAAAACCCTCCCCTGGGACTTTCTGAACTGTCTCTGGATCCTTGACTGAGACTCTCAGGGTGTGATCCCAGAGTTGGCAGTTGCTGCCTTGGCCTGTCACATCATGATGGTATGGTATGACTGAGCTGCTATGCTGCTGTCATACGTGGAAACCCCCTGCCCCTCTGTCCCTCACCCCCTTCAAAAAAGGAGGAGAGAAAAAAAGAGAATGTGCCAGTCAAGTGTATTCCTACTTACAGTTCCGAAGATTTCTGCAGCTGCTGTGATTATTATAGCTTTTCCTTCCTTTTTTATTTTTTTTCTGCATGTAGTCTCAGCCTCTTTCTAGGAAATCCTTTTCCCCCTTTTCTTTCTTTCTTTCTTTCTTTTTTTTTTTTTAAATTAAACCGTGTAAGTCAAAACTCTCTCTGTCACGAATTAAAGAAAACTTACTCAAACTGACTTATGCAAAAAGTTAACTTCTTGGATCCTATGACTTCATAGTCTAGAAGGAGAGCTAGCTCTGGCCACGGCTGGATACAGGTATACCAACACCATCATCAGGACCTGGGTTCTTTCTCTCAGTCTCAGCAATGCTTCCTCTCTGTGGTCTCCATTCTCAGAAAGGCTTGCCCTTATGGTGGCAGAAATGGCGGCAGCTGCTCTAACTTCAGGTGCAATCCAACAGAAAGTGGCCAAAGGCGTGGCAGGTGGTACCTGCAAAAGTTATTACGTGTCACTCTGGTTGAACCAGCTTAGGTCTGCTGCCCAACATAGAACCAGTCAGTATCATCAGGTGTTTTCATTCTCCAGGGTCTCCGTAACAAAGTACCACAGACTGGGTGGCTTCAACAATAGAAACGTATTGTCTCACGGTTCTGGAGGAAGAAGTCCAATATCAAGGTGTTGGCAGTCCCTTCTGAGGGCTGTGAGGAAGCACCTTTTTCATGCCTCCCTCCTTGGCTTTATAGACGTATCACCCCAATCTCTGCCTTCATGTTTACCTGGCCTTCTCCCCGTGTTTGTGAGTCTATATCTCCCATGGTGCTCTTTCATCAGCCCCACTCCCTTGCTCTAAATGACCTAATTACATCTGCAAAGACCCCTATTTCCAAATAAGGTCACATTCTGATGTACAGGGAATTAACACTGCAACATATAAACTTTTAGGTGATATAATTCGACTCGCAACATGAGGGGAAACATTTTGCCAGTTGGCTTAGGCCTGAATCCTGTGCTTCAGCCTGGAGCTGCTTGTGAAAGTCCCAGCTGGACCAGAGGGACTGAGGGTAGAGGAGATGTAGACACCCTCACTTCAATCAAACAAACACAAAAGGAACCAGCCGTGGCTAGAAGAAGGGGACATGGATGTTGGGGAGGCAAACCACACATGCCCATTATCTATTTTCACTTGGGTTTTCAACACCTGGCAGCCAGCAATGGCCTAAGCAGTACCCCTGTCTTTCCCCCATCACCCCAATTCCTCGTCTTCCAGGCAGTTCTATGATTCAGAACCCAGTAAAACCATGCACTTGCTTTAGTCATGATGTCTTTTCTCTTTGGGAAATGTCCGTTTCCTGCATCTCTAACATACTCCATGCACGTCCTCTCATTTCCTGTCCAATGACACTGTCTCTGGAAGCCTCTCCCCAAGGCCATGGCACACACACACTCATTCCTCTTTGCTTCCACAACGTTGGGAAGAGCATCCATTGCGGTGCTTTCCACACTGTATCATCCTGCACTTCCACAGCCTGTGAGCCCCTGAGAAAGGTTCTGTGCCTTATGCTTCCCACATCCCAGAGCCCAGCGCAGTGTCTGGACCAGAGCAAGGGCTCCTTGAGTCTTCACCCGAGCAGCTCCATGCATTCAAGCCTGGCCCTCTGCACTCTTTCCCCCAGGCTGCCTTCTTTCCTCACAAGCACTTGTCAGCTCCGGCTCCCCTGCTCTTCCCTCACCCAGGGCAGTTCTCCTAAACAAGCTTCACTGCCTCCTGAATAGTCATGAGTCTCTCTGGGCATAACCATCACTCACCCAAGAGCCTCCAAACTCCCCTGCTCTTTGGTCTCCCACCTACAGCAGCCACGCTCCGTGCTGCCTGACTCTCTGTCTTGTTCTGAACTGTTTTGATGTTTAGCTCTTTGGGGACAAAAATCACTGTCTGTGCTGCTTGAGTTGCCGCGGAATCACAACCAGCTTTGGATTATTGCTCAACAGTTCCCGATGGGAGCTTCCCTAGCCCAGAGGGCAGGGACCCTGGATCACATGGGCACAACAGACACATGAGTGAAGCAACTGTGAGAATATTACTCAAGTCTCTGGGCCTCAATTTTCTAATCTGAAACAGGGGGATGATTCTATCCATCTCCAAAAGAGCTTTGTGGACAAAAGACACAGTGCACGTCCTTCTTCATCTCCCTCGGTATCATGCTCCTTGCTCCATGAGAACTGCTTTTGAGCCTGGCCTCCTCTGAGGAATGTCCCTTGGCTATAGCTACCCACTGTGATTGTCCTCTTATTTTTATTCCACTAGGATCACTTACCACGTTCCTTTAATTCAGAGCTTGTGGGGAAGAGAGGTGCCTATATCTGACCTTCCAGTGACATTCTCTAGGTGCCTATATCTGACCTTCTAGTGACTTTTTCTGACTAGCTGTGTGGCCTTAGGCAAGTGACTTAACCTCTCTGATCCTCCTTTTCTTTATCTGAAAAAAAGTAAGTTGAATATCCTTCCCTCAGGGCTATTGTAAGGTGTGTGGAATGGGTTCGTGAAGTGGGTGATAGGCCAGCACAATGGCACCTTCCTCCCCTCTCCTCTTCACTCCCCCTACCCTAGGTGGGGCAGGCTCCACAGGAGAAGGGAAGCAGGGATTATTTTAGATAAGAACTAGACTTCTCTGAGTTCTTCCCCTGCTTCAGGGAACTAATGAATCTCAGGAAAGTCTGCTTTCACTGACTGTTTGCCAACTCTTTCCTTTGAGGTCCTTCAACCTTCCCCTCAGGGCCCTTCCTCTGACCTATTCTTGTAAAAATGAAAAAAAAAAAGTTGCATCAAGAAAATTACCTACTATTTATATATCCCAAGGTGAACCCTACATGGAAGATAAAGGAGGCAGCTGATTGGAAACAGCCCTATGGGCCCTTTCTCCAAATGCCCATCTGGGGCCTAGGGAGGTAAGAGCCTTCTTGGATTCCTGACCTAGAACCAGAAGGTTTGACCCAGAGCAAGACAGCATTTTAGGGAAGGCTAGGGAAGCTGCCCATTCATGGATTCATTGAAGAAGTGGACATGGATGCTGTGGAGGCAAACCACACATGCCCACTACCTATTTTGACTTGAGTTTCTAATACTGCAGCCAGCAATGGCCTAAGCAGTACCCCACCTTTACCCCCATCACATCCAATATGTGTGCACTGAGCATCCATGGTAGGCCAGGCAAAGTGCTGGACACTGAGGGTACCATGGTGAACAAACAGGTGTGGCTCCATTCTCAGGAGACTTACAGAGCACCAGGAGAAACAACACTTAAAAAGCCTACGATAGGCAGGGCATGGTGGCTCACACCTGTAATCCCAGCACTTTGGGAGGCTGACATAGGCAGATCACTCGAGGTCAGGAGTTTGAGACCAGCCTGGCCAACATGGTGAAACCCTGTCTCTACTAAAAATAGAACAATTAGCTGGGCATGATGGTGCACACTTGTAATCCCAGCTACTTGGAGAACTGAGTATGAGAATTGCTTGAACCAAGGAGGCGGAGGTTACAATGAGCTGAGATCGCACCACTGCACTCCAGCCTGGGCGACAGAGCGAGACTCCATCTCAAAAATAAAAAATTTAAAAAAAAAAAGCCTACAGTAACTATTTTCTGCTGTTGTCCCCCATTCCAAGCCATGTACTAGAAGCTGCTCAGAAGGTGAGGGCATTTGAATTGTCAGGTGATGGATGGGAGGCCTCAGTCATGCCAAGTGCCTAAACCTTATAACATTAGATGTGGACTGAGCACTGCTACCTAGCAGGAACTGGTGGTGAGAATTAAAAATAAGACATGGTTTCTATCCTGAGGAAGACAACTGCAGTGGAAGAGGAGCCCTGATCCAGGAAAGCACAGGGTGCTGTGGAAGCAGAGCAGGGGCCACTATCCCAGGCTTGAGGGAAGGAGGGAAAAACCACTTGGAGAAATTGACTGAGCAGACTTTTGCCATCCTTTCTCTTCATGTTTACTTCCAACAGCCTGGTGCAAGCCCTCATCCTGTCTTTCCTAGACGATGCCAATGGCTTTCTATTCTTCTGCCGTTCCTACCCTTACATCAGTTTGCACAATGTTACCTGATGTCCTTATAAAGCCAATCAGGTGGCGTCACTCTTCAGCCCAAAGTTCTGCAAAACTTGGCCAATGCTTGTAGGGAAAGACCATGGTGTTCATGTAGTCTGGGTTCGGTCTACCTCTCTGGCTACATTGATGGTCTCCTTCCCTTCTTTGTGTCTTTACCTGTCTAGAGCCTTTGTCCGTGCTTTTCTTTGTACCTGGGATGCTCCCATCTGCCTTCAGCCAAGCAAATCCATCCTGAGAACTCTGCTCAACATCACTTTTTCAGGAGTGACTTTGCTCTTGGATCCATAAGGCTGGTGGATGTTGTGCCTTGCTCTACACTGGCCTGGCTCCCTATGCTCCTCCATGGCAGCCCTCCCCACAGTTCACAGGAATGGATGTGTGCTCAGTGGTGTCTCCCCCATTACCCTGTTAGCTTCAGCAGGGCCGGGGCAGGGGGGTCTTGTCTTTGGCACCATTAGCAGAGGTAATTTCCTAGGCAGGGCCCAGCCTAGGAAATGATCCCTCCTACTTACTGAAGGGATTTAAGCAGTAATGGGCACTGTGGTCCCCCAACTCAATAGGAAACAGGCACACAAGACCAATCTGAGTTCCCAGAGAGTCATACTTCCAGTTGAAGTGAAGGGGGTTGATGTGGTTTAGCAACTGAGAAAAATAAAGTCAAAGAGGAGACTCGAGACTTGGGATCATTTTCCTTCTTGCTTTCCGAGGAGATGAGAATAATGATGGGAGTTGGCCATGGCATTTGGACGTGGCTTCTTTGCCCAGGACCAGGATCAATGCTGCCTTCATCAACGCGGTTATGATCAGGGGCCAAACAAGGCAGCAGGTTGGTGTCATCCTCCAAGTACCCATCAGAATCCCTGGCAAGATTTTAAAAATTTGGGTCTAGAGACAGGGACAGAACTAGAGACCAAGCTAGCTCCCCAGGGCACAAAATTTAAGGAGGTGCTCACTCTCAGGTGCAGAACTTGCAAATGGATAGCAGATGCCTCCCTCAATTTTGCACCCTGGACCCCTCACTTCTCTCCCTCTCATCCCAGCTTTATGTAGAAACCACAACCTCACTCCAGAAACCTTTAATTCAATTCTCTTCTTTGCAGGTGGTTCTGGTGCACAGTCAGACTTAGGAATCACTTAGCTAGGGAACTTCTGAGAGAACAAGAGTGTAGAGAGAGACCCTGGAGCATAGCAGGTCAGAGGCCTCCAGGATCAATGAGGAAGATTTCCTGTGAGTGAGCAGGGTGATGCCCTGACACAGGACGTCATCATTTTCTATCTCCATATCTAACCTGCAGAGCTCATGTAAGCTAATAATGAGCTAGGGAGAGAAAAAGTTTCATCAAAAGAAAGCGGAGCTCAGAATGCTCCGAAGTGGGCAAGTATGGGCTACCTGCTGTTTTCACAGGCTTAAGTTTTCAGGGAAGTCCTGTCCAGTCCAGCTTTAAGCCCCAGCCCCATTGCTCCTACCTCAGTGTG